AGGAATGCCTGTCTTACAAATAAAGGAGCTGCAGGCCGACGCAACCTAGGACTGAGCGTGTCCCTCTCCCAGGCCCACTCCCTTTCCACCAGGTAGGGCGAGAAGAGCAGCGTCCCAGGGAGCTCAGGAAGGGGCTTTAGGTGGGGTGACTTTTCTTGTCCTGCGCTCCCAGCTACCCCATGCTATCACCACTGGTAATTGCCTTTCTGATGACATATGGCAACATCTGGAGACATGTGGGTTTGTCACGTCTAAGGGGGTTGCCTCTAGTGCCTACTAGGTAGAGGCTCAGGGATGCTGTTAGCCGATCCCACGACACCCAGGATGGCCCCGCGCGACAATGATCCTGTTCAGAATATCAATAATGCTGAAGCCAACAAACATTGTCCTGTGGGAACCCCAAGGGGACCCACGTTAAGTTTTTCTAGAAACTTTTTTGGATGGAGCCAGCGCAGTCTGATGTCCCAAGATTTTGTATTATTGAAAAAGGTAGGGAGGGTTCTTTGAGGGAAGAAGGGGTAGAAGAACTGAAAGTTTTAGTATCAATTATTTGACTTGCAAACATATGCTGTTTTATTCAAACTGGCAGTTATCTCTTAAGTCACTAGGTCAGACCCTAAAAATAAAGGATTAGAGAAGAGGGACTTCCTGCAGCTGGATGTAGGGCCGACCCCTAGCTCCAGGGTAAAGCTGAAATCCAACCTGAGTTCCACTCCAGCCCTGCTAACAAAGAGCTGGCGTTGGGGGACGCCCTAGAGGAAGTCCCCTTTCATCTAACCTGTCCTCAGACCTGTGGGAGGGGGGTGGGCCATATTACCCTTTCGCAAATCATTGGTAAGGAGTGGGGACATATTTTCCTTAAACTCTGCTAGGCAGTAGCTGCCTGCTGGTCACAGATCCTCTTTTGAAATGTGGAGGGCACAGAACTGAGGTCTCCAAGCCCATCCGTTGACTATCCTGCTCCCCGCAGTGGGATAGCTGGTGAGAACCAGTGTCAGGTATAACCCTCACCTGAAGATGGGGCTGTGTCCCCCAATCCGGGCCTTGGACCAACCGAGAGGGGAGGGCACTGCCAGGTAGTCCATGCCAGCCACCTCCTTCCTAGGACCTCCGGGAGGAGCCACGGCCTCCTCTGCTCCTGAGGGCAGCTTCCCATTGCACGAGGCTGGCTCCTCAGACCGACCCTGCTCGCTGGAAGTTCGCCGGGTCTTCTGGGGGATGCTCTCGGCAGGTGGGCCCCCCACATAGTCGAAGGGACCAGGGGAGCCAGGGTCCCGGGTCAGAGGCAATGGGGGTGGTGGAGGTGGCTCAGGGCCCTCTTCCCCCAGGCTGCCACGGCGGGACAGAGCTGGGGAAGCCGAAGATGGGGTTCCCGAGCTGGAATAGCGCCGCTTGCCGCATGGAGATGCAGGCCGAGGGGAGGTTGGGGTAGGCCCTGGGGCGCTGAGGTGGAGCCAGCTTTCCTCCGGCCCCCTGCCTCCTCCCGGGCTAGGACCGTACAAGCTCCAGGGATCCTCAGGGGTCCAAGGCCGCGGGGAAGCCCGGGGTGAGGGCAGCGGGGAACCCAGGCCAAAGCGGGAGGCTGCCTCGTTGAGCTCTGACTCCACCTCGTCGCAGGCAGCATACAGGGCGGCCTCATCCGAGGCGTCGGAGAAGAAGCTCCAGGAGGACAGGCTGCTGCTCCCAGGGCTTGGGCTAAAGAAAGCGCCCGCGCCCTGGCCCCCTGCTTCTCGGTAGCCCCCAAAGCCTTCGGGCGGGGGGTAATCTCGGGGAGAGCTGTCCCCCCAGGCGTCAGGGTTGTCCTCCAGCGGAGCCGGCGGGTCAGGAGTGGGAGAGATGGAGGTGATGCGGATGCTGGGACACTCGAGAACACGGCCACCCCCAGCACTCCCGGCGCCCCCTCCTGGTGCACCCAGCCTCACCGACCGGGCTGGCTGGCTCTCCCAAGTGCCAGGTGAGGGGGCGGGGCGCGGTGGTGGTGAGTGCATGCCAGGCCGCGGGGGCGGAGGTCGAGGAATGCCAATGGGGGCTGCGCCATAGGGAGGAGGTTCCCCCAGGGCCAGCCGGCAGCATGGTGGGGCATCCTCTGAGTCCAGTTCTGTTAAAACGGGAAAGGGGAGGCAGAGGCAGGTGGGGAGAGAAGGAAGCAGGTGAGATGTCTAGGTTCCTCGAGTGGCCAGCCCCCAAGCCCTGTTTGCTTCCCGCTCATCAGCAAGGAGGGGTGCCTGAGGGGCCCTCCGGAGCCACAAGACGAAAGCGAAGGTGGGCTCCAGGAGATGCAGGTAGGTGCAGGCGCGCTAGGCCTTTGCCACTCGCAGGAGGCCGGGGGCCTCGGGTACCAGACGGGGCGGGTCTTAAGGTGAGGGAGGTGGGTCAAGAGGAGCTGGAGCTGGGCCTGGAGGCGTGTTCAGCCAGGCAGTGGGCTGGGCTGGGGGCGACTCACACATGAACCCAATTAGCAGCGGTTCCCAAACCCCCAAACGGCGCTGGCAGGAGCCCCAGTTGCCATCGTAACCGTGGCCTAGGGAGGGGGGCGCCAGAGCTGCGGTGACGAGGATAGGTGGCTCCTCCCCGCTCTCCCCAATCTGGGGGCGGGG